GGGCTGGGGAGTGAGGGTTTCCTGGGGACAGAGCTGCAGTTTGGGAAGATGAGAAAGTCCTGGAGATGGTGGTGGGGATGGCTGCACAACACCGTGAATGTGCTTAATGCCACCGAGCTGTGCACTTAGACATGGTTAAAATGGTCATTTTCTGCCATATGTATTTTACCACAACTAAAAGCAATTTTCAAAGCGGAGTATGATTTAAAACTCGCTCCCCCGTGGAGGCACTGGCTACCCAGCAGTAAGGGCTGCGCAGGGAAGCGAGTAAACGCTTGACTCGACTTTTATTTCGCCGCTCTCACGGCAACGAGTTAGTTCCTCAGTACCCACGAAAGATCACCAAGGAGAGCTTTTTCGCTGTGTGTCGCTGTGAGCCCGTGGATGTAACGTCTGGCGTGTCTCCATCCTCCGTGCGTGGCAGGGCTTCTTCCCTTACGCCGCGTTGTTCCGTCTTTGGCCAGTGGAAGCCCCCTCGGTTTGGCACCTCAGTCCTTTGGACGTGACCCAGTGGCCTTCAGAGCTCATAGTTCTGGCAAAAGCCAGCTGCTTTCCCAGCCCAGGCCTGGCCCTGCCCCTTCTGCCAGGAGCCCTGCTTCCTTCTGACGGGAGGGTTATTCAGAGAGCACACTCTGCCCACTGAGTTAGGAAACCCACGTTTTCTTCCCTTACCTTCTACTTTGAAAATATCTTCAGACCTACAGAAGTTGCCAGGTGATTACCACGAACCCCCACCTACCCTTCCTCTAGGTCAGGGGCAGCACACTACCCGCTCTCAGCCTGTTTTTGTAAATAAAGTTTTGTTGGCATGTGGCCACGCCCATTCATTTGCACATCAGTCCCGCCTTTGCTGGGACAGCAGAGTCTAGTGGTTGTGACAGAGCCTGTCTGGCGCCCTCGGTGCCAAAAATATTCATGACTTGGCCCTTTGCAGAAAAAGTCTGCAGACCCCTGAGCTAGATCGGCCCACGACTCACCCTTTGCCGTATGTATTTCTCTATAAAAGTATTTTAGATATTCCATAAAAATATACACATTTCTATTCTTTTTCTTAATTTTGCTAAATAATTTGAGAGTAAGTTGACGACATCATGTACCTTTACTCCAAAAAACCATGTAGTTCCTGCAAACACCTGTTATATAACCAGAGGGTGATGGTCAAATTCAGGGGATCAAACACAGATACAATAATTGTACCTAATGTCCAGCCCACGTGAAAATTTACCCAGTTGTCTCAATATTGTCTTTTATAGCAACCCCTCCACCTCCCTGGCCCCCTCCCCTTCCCCAAAGCTGTATCCAGTCAGGGGTCACTCACTGCACAGAGTTTCACGCATCTCCACTCTGCTTTCTTCCGAGACAGCCTGAGGCTTGCTTTTTTTTTTTTTTGTCTCTTATCTCCTTTTATGACCTTGACTCTTTCGAAGAAACCAGGCCAATTATTCTGTGAGCTGTCCCTCAGCATGGTTCCCATGATCGGAGGCAGGCTGTCCATGTCTGGCAGGAGTGGCCTGGAAGCGGCGTGTCCCCTAGTGCTTCACACCAGGAGGCCCACGAAGCCCCCCTCCCCCCCCAGTGTGCTCACTTGGGTGGCCTGGCTAAGATGCTGCTCGCCAGGTCTCTCAGGAAGGCACTTCCCCTCTGTAACTGAGAAGTCACCTGCAGGAAGGCACCCTGAGATTCTGTAAATGTCCTTCTCCCCGTCAGACCTCCACCCGGTCACTTCAGCGTCCACCGTCGGACCTCGCTTGGGCCACTTATTGCTGGGCCACTTAGTGCTGATTTTTCTAACTCTGCTATTGAGTCAATGACTGGGATCAGAATTGCTGGATAACACAGAAAAATCATTTCCCCCCAATTGTTTCTTATTGTGGTAAAATACATGTAACATAAAAAGCACTCTGTTGAGTGTGCCTTTCAGAGGTAGGACTGAATACATTCATCCGGTCTGCAACCATCCCCACCATCCACCTGCAGAACTCTTTTCATCCCGTAAAATGGAAGCTCTGTCCTCAGTAAACACGAACTCTTCCCCTGGCACCCGCCACCCAACTTTCTGTCTGTACGACTTTGAGCTCATTCATTTTTGACGCTCATTGTCCCAGGTTTGGCCAGCCTGTGTCTCTCCGATGGGTCCCATGCTCCTTGGAGCCCTTCCTTACTCTCTGGTGCACTAAGGTGTTCCAGGCACTTCTTGTAATCCACCTGCCTACTCCTGGAATCAGACATTTCTCCCCAGAGCCCTGAACCCCCCTACTGTTTTTGAGAGGGTGATACTTAGAAACCAAGATCTGGGCACTCGATGGGCTCATTCCTATTGGGCTGTCTCAAGAACAAGACGACCCAGTTTGGTTGTTTAAATCACAAGTACATGCTGACGCTGACAATCTCATTCCGTCGCTGTGGGATTCTTTCCTATATTCTGCCTTTTTCATCTTTGCAACTTCTTTCTCCCCCGAAGACCCGATTCCTAATAATATAAACACACTTGCTACTTCACTTAGTCCCACAGTACACACGATAGTTTCAGAATCACTACACCCCTGCCACTCCCAAAAACAAATGTACTGAATCAAGTTTAAAATTATTTTGCAGTTCCCTGTGTCTCTAGAGTGAGTACTGTGTCCAAAATTTGCATCATGTTTTTTCCTATTTCTGTGTGGTTATGATTTTCATTTGAAATACAGTTCAGTTCATGTTTTCCATTTATATTCCATCTTAAAGCTTTTTTTCCCCCTCCATCTTTGTTGGTTTAATTTTTTGTTGAATATAGAAGGCATTAACAGTCTAAAAACCATACAAAGAGGAAGGCACTGGGGATTACACCCAGGACCTCAGGCATGCCAAGCACATGCTGTACCACTGAGCTACACCCCCTCCCTTCTTCATTTTTTTATTATACAAAAGATAACATACTATATATGTTTTGTATGTTTTGTACTTCCCCCTCAACTTAACAGTATGTCCTGGAACTCACTCCATCCCGTTCAGAGGTCACCCTCATTCTTTTTCAGGGCTGCATAATACTCCACCATGGGATGCAGCATAATGCACCAGTCTCTCTCCTCTGTACAGACATCTGGGTTGCCTCTAATGTTTTGCATTTACAACCGATAATGGATAACCTTCTGGGTACTTAGACTTGCGTATTTTTGAGCTGTGTCTTCAGGACAAACTTTTAGAGAGGTGGGCAGCTCTTCTGAGGATGGTGATAATCGTAAAATTAAAGGTATAATGCACATACGACCTTTCACTCAGGCAGCAGGTAATTTATGGCAGGTCACTGTTGGGCAGCTTGGCCTCAAATTAGTCAAACTCTGCTCTCTCTTAGCATTTCACTCTTGTTCTGAATTTGCTCTCCTAGCCTGGGATCAGGGCTCAGTCCAGGGTCAGGACTCAGCCTAGGATCAGGGCTCAGCCCAGGGTCCAGGCTCAGAACACGCAGTGTGCCTCTCTGTCAATGTGCCCAGGTCGTGTGGTCCTCGGTGAGGCTGGGACTGGGGCCCGGTAGTCCTGTTGCACAGGGTAGTTCCTCACCTCCCCACCCCCGCATCACACCCCAGCTGCCTGCACAGTCCCTCCTGCCGCAGCTTCTCCCTTCAGATCCGTTTCTGCTTGGTCACCTCCAGTGACAAGATGCTGCTGCCTCGCAGGGCAGCCACTCCCTCCCAGCCTCCCTGTAGCTGTCCTGCTTCCAGTGAACCCAGGGAGGGGGTGCTGGTGCCTTCAGCCGCAGTATCCTGCCTGCCTGCCATTTACGGGGGATAACAGAGCCCTCAGATACCTGCGCCTTCCTTTTCAGACACTGATCAGGGCCGTGCCGCCCCCGCCCCCAACTCCCCAAGCATCACTCCACACATTACCGGCCACTTTGTCTCCCCATGGAGGTGCCCGCACCTCGGTCCTCAGTCATCTCAGTGACTCAGGATGGCCGTGCAGTGGAGCTGGGGTGAGCTCCCCACTTCTCCGGTGAGCCTCTCGCCTCCAGAGGTGAGCTGCTGCCCTGGGTGGGGGTCCCGAGCAGCTCCCAGCAAGGCTGGCTCAGCGGCAGGAGACGCAACGGAAAACCCGGATGAGGAGGGTCGCGGCCCGGACACCCGGCGGAGCGTGGCCGCAGGTGGGGCGCCCCCCTCCCAGCTGTGTGTTCTTCCGCGGGGCCCGGTGTCGCCTCTCCAGGCCTCGGGTTCCCGCTCCGTGGAGCCGTTGGTCCTGGCCCTGGCGTGAGCGTAAAACAGGGCGCATCTGCACCATCGGCGGGGGAGCTGGTGGTGCTCCCGTGTGCGCGGTCACTTGCCACACACTTATTAATCACCTGCTGCTTGCCAGGCGGGCTGGGAGCAGTCGGGGAGCCAGTGATGGAACCGCGGGTCGTAGCTCGTGGGGGCGGGGGAGATGTCCACGGGGAGCCTGCTTCCCCTTCTCTCGGGGGCCCCACCCGCAGTGGGCTTTCGAGGACCGGAAGGGGGCAGAGACGGGGTCGCGCCGCCAGTGCGGGGTGCGCCGCAGCGCCCTCCAGGAGC